TAGGTGTAAAGTACCCAGACATGGCTTCCCAGGCCTTCCTCCTGGTGTGCCCTGGGACCGCCACGCAGCTTGCCAAAGGCCACACAGGGCAGCTGGGCACACAAACACCACCAGCCACACCCTCTGGATGACCTCGGTTGTTCCCTCTCCTGAGGGACTCAGCGGGGATTCAAACTCCAGAGCCAGGCGGTTCCAACCCATTGAGCTACACCACCCCCCCCACAGCTGGCTTACATGACGAAGAAGCAAAAACCAACCAAACCAAAGAAAACCCATGAAAAAAACGCTTGTTCCTTGCCGGTGAGATTGGAGACGGAAGAGGCTCCATGGTGAGGTAGTCGGAGACAAAGCGGGCACAGCCGTCCCAGTTGTACAACTCGGAGTAGGGGAGCAGAGTCGGGCGCACCGTGGTGCTGACAAATTTCTGCAACAGAAATGTGGTGCTGGGTTGTGTGGATCTGTTTGAGAAGAAGACAATGGCAGCCACGACAAGTCTCCGGCCCTCATCAGAGCAAAGAAACAGCAGGCCGTAAGAAGCCTTGCAGGGCGTTTGCTCACACGCCAGAATTTCTGCTTTAAAAAGTGACATGTTTCTCTTGTCCTTGTGCTTCTTGCATGAGCCGGTGAGTGGCTCCAAATTCGTTCACACTTGGCCTGAGGTTTGGTTACGCAGAACGACCTGGGCTACAAAGCTTTTCAGAAGCTCTTAAACCACCACAACGGTGGTTTGAATGGGTTGGCTTGGGTCAGATTCGACGCGGGATGTGGCTTCATTTATTGGCCGGTGTCTAGAACTGGAATGGTATTACAGTATTTGTAGCTTATTCGGGTTGATTGCTCACTGCCCAGAGAGTGTGCATGGCACGATTGGGCAGTAGTATATAAGTTAAATTTCAGCCAAGCGACCAACCAATCAATCCTGTGCAAAATAATTCATATCATCTCATAAACCAGAACTAGGCAAAAACTGGAGGAAAAATCAATCTCTCTGGTTAGGAAGCCTGTTCACCAGATCCCATATGCGGGGTTCTGTACAGCTCATCAGTGGTACACAGAATCACACTGCTCCTTCTTCACTTCTGTGCACAAGCGTGTATTTTTGGACGACACGCATTCCTAGAGAATTCCTGGCCAGAGAAGTCCCCGGTCGTGCACCCGTACGCCTTTACTTCTCATACATCTTTAAAATCCGGGACTCAGCACCACGAAACCTTCTGAAACTCTCGGAGGGGAGCCCCACCCTACCCCAAATGAAATCCCACCCTCGCCACTGAAGCAGGCCTGCAGGATAGGGCCCCGGCGCTGATCCCAGGCCCTCTGCTTACTTCTACACCGCATTCATTGACGGGGTGGAGGAAGAGCGGCTCCCGGTCCGGGCAGAGATGGGCATACTGGCGGTGGAAGTTGTCGGCCACTTGCAGGAGCTGCTGCTCCTTGGCAGAATTCGTCCTGTAACTCTCCGGCAAGGTGGAGGTGTCAATGGTGTTCCAGTCAAACTCACTGCACATGGTACAAACAAGGGTGGAGGAGACACAGAAAGGTGGGAGGTAACAAGGCGGAGACCAGAGCAGGTCGGAAAGGGTTCTCATTGCATTCAGTAAAAATGTACAGTAGGACGCCTGTATCCATGGTGGATCAGTTCCAAGCCACCACCCGTGGATGCTGGAAAATGCAGATTGTAGCAAATGCTATTTTAATAGCAAAATACTATGCATAGCATGGGCTGTGCCTCCCTCTAATGGCCACTTCTGGTAACTTCATCTTTAGAAATACAGATTTCTAGGATTTCTCTTTTAATATTAAGGATGAGTGAATCCTGTGGATAAGGGAGTCCTACTATATTGCTTCTTTCAGGAGCAGTGGAAGTTGCCCTTGACCAAAAGTATTAAAACAAGTAACAAGCATGGATTGGGAAGGAGTCTGGGTGCAATCAGACTGGGAAAGAGTTCCCATTTTAGACTGCTTGCGGTGCAGTTCGGTATGAGCTATTTCCCGGCGATCACACAACCTCTGTGAGATTGCTGACCATCCAGATCCATGCCCAAGCTGGGCCTTTTTGGCCTGGCATCAGGACTGCTGTTTGGAGTGGGGTCCGGGCTGGAGCGATTCTCTGACAGATGGAAGGGTGACTTTAAGGAGCTTTTGGGTCAGTTGACTCTGGAAAGAGGCCCAAGACGTTCCTGCTCCCTGCCTGGCTTCACATGGCACAAGGCAGGCACCTTTGGGTCTCCCCCGCACCGCTGCTCTCGCTCTCGGCTTTTAAATTCATTAACATTGAACAAGGGCCAAGCAGCATCTAAACACCTTTGCCCTTAGCCAGTGAGCCCTGGCGCCAGTTGGGAGCGGGCGGAGATAGGTGCCTAAAACCACCAGGTACAAAAAAAATCCCCCAGATGTCCCCTCCTGAACAGGCACTGTTTGCCCCCAAGATTCATCCTCTTGTCCAGAGACCCAGGAAAACACTGCAGGTCCTGGAGACTCCAAACAGCACCCTAAGAGTTGGCAACCTTCCTTACTAGACAGCTTCAGGAATATGGACTTGGATTTGGGACAGCTGCTCCTCCAGGTCTTGGAGCTCCTCACTGAGGCGCAAGGAGCTCAGCTCTTCTTCCTCCTCATCTGCCAGCGACTCATACTCTTCCTCGGTGCTCGTGAACCTGGAACTGCTCATTCTGTGGCTCCAGACGATGCAAGGCACTGACAACACCACCCAGGGAGGCAACTGTGGAAACCAAGGACAGGGGTCAAAAACCAGGGCCAAGTCCCATCCAGAAACTCTCCCTAGCTTGCAAACTTGGATTTCTTCTTATTTTGCAAATCTTGTTTTGTTTGAGAGCAAGATGCAAGGATGAGTGTTCAGAGAAGACACTGTGTTTCTGATAGCAGCATTGCCCGGAATAAAGCAAGGTCTTTCTGTTCCTGGCCATGGGATGAGACAGTCAGGTCCTACCAAGTTGCCTGCACACCAACCAGCCCCTAGATTGTTCACCGTAAGCCAGGATTGCCTGGAATCCTGGCTTACTGTTGCGCATGCATGAGATCAGTAATGCCATCAATATAGTTTAAATGGCAAGTGACTCATTTATGGCACAGAGTCTGTTGTGCTTGGTCTTGAAAAGAACCTCCTTCTTCTCCATCATCATCATCATCATAATCATAATCATAATCATAATCATAATCTTAGAACTGCAGAGCTAGAAGGGACCCTGTGGGTCATCAAGTCCAGCCCTTGTCAAGGGACCCCAGTGGGGGAATCGAACTGACGACCGGAAATGGTTTCCCAGCCTTATCAGGATTGAATTAAAAGCACGATCTATCGGCAATCGAATTGAAAGAACATTCCCCTCCCCCCAGGTCTGGGAAGATGAATACAGCTTCCTCTTCATATCTTTGTCTGCCATTGTTGTACAAAAACACGATTAGAGAGGACATTCTGAGAAAGTAAATAAACAGAAGAATAGCAGAACTGGGGGGAAAAGGGGTAAGGCTGGAGGTTTCATTTCAGGTCAGGATGCTCCCTGGATTTTGTTTTCTGGCTAAGAGAAGATAAGGAGCAGCCAGAGAGTCCCACGTGTTCCTTCTCTCTCCAGTTCTCTGGGAGGCAAGAATGACAATTATGCAGGGAGATTAAGTCAAGAACAGACGGGTGCTCGTTCACCCGGCCGAGGGCTGCTGAGGAAGATGAAGGGGGCTCGCTCCGGTCTTCCCGGCACTGCGTAATGGAGGGCATCTAGAGCCGGCCACGTAAACTGGGCCGCAAGAACGGAAAGCACAGAAACCTTCGTACAGTATATATGCACAGGGAGGGACCGGACCTAATGCCTGGAACTACCATTTGGCATAAGGCTGTGAAAGATTCTCACAAAAACAAAATCCCTGGAGGGGGTGGACAGAACATCCTCCCATCTCTGATCCCTGGCACAGGGTGGCCTAAAGCAAGGGGGAAAGCGACGGGCCAGCCCTGAAGTTGCCGGGCAGTTAATGGCCATCCAAAAGCGGAAAGGCCGCCTGCGTGTCCTAGAGCTTCCAGGATAAGTCCTAAAAGGACCACTTCCATATAAAGCGCCCCTGAGGCCAAACCCAGCACTTTCGCTGTTCTCTGGGCCATGAAACAATTTAAAAAATAATCTACACCATCTGATGTAACTGCTGTACTGGATAGCTCAGGGGCTGAGGTCTCCGGCTGCGGAGCCGGAGGTTGGGAGTTTGATTCCCACCCACCCCCGGGCCTCCTTGACAGGGGCTGGATTGGATGATCTTATAGGGTCCCTTCCAACCCTGCCGTTCTAAGAGGGTGATGATGGTGCTTAATGAACTGCTGATAGCTCAGCAGTTTAAGCCTCTGTTCTGTCCGAAGGATAAGACAGGGCTGCATACACCACACAAAGGTGTGTATCCTGCACCCCCCCAATCCCCTGATAAAAAGGGCCGGCTTCTTCAGGGATGGGGAAGGCTGCCACACTCCCACAAGATTCCAGTAAGTGTCTCTTAGGTTCAAGCTGTGTTGGATCTCAGCGCAGAAGGAAAGGTGGATCAAACACCTGGAAACATTTCGGGGGGGTTGCAACTCCTAGATTGCTCCCAGCCAGCAGGGCCAGGATGTGGTCCAAAAGGTCACCTTTCCAACGTCTCGGTGGGGTGTCGTTGAAGCAGGGATTCGAACCCAGGTCTGCTGAGTTTCAGTCCATCACTGCATCCGCATCGTATGTAAAGGTGTGGCCCAAACATTGTGCCCCATGTAGCTGTGTGAACATTTGTGGGCTGGACTCCACAAAGATTTGCACAGTTAGTCTTGGTGGGGGGGCATGAACTGAAGTGTTTGTTTGTGTACCTCGCTCTCTGAAAACCCTCCCAAGCTGGCTTTTAAGGGCCCCCAGCCACTAAGAGAAGGTTACACGATGCAGGACTTCACATTGTGCGTATAATTCAAGTTGGCGCCAAGATTGCCACATGACCAGGAGGGCAGGGGCTCCTGTGCCTTTAGGAATGGTACAGAAGAGGATGTTTGGGCAGGGGTTCCTTACCATGGAAGTGGCATCTGCTGAAATGTTGTCATTTGCACAGCCATTAAACGCACAGGAGCCCTGTCCTCTTTGCCATGTGGCAACCCGAACGCAAGCATTTTCTCCATCGCCTCCCTGGGGAATCTCACTGTTCCCAGACGTTATCTCCTGGGGAATCTCACTGTTCCCAGACGTTATGCCAGGGTCAGGGAGATAACATCCTCCGGCGATGCCTGATTGTGTACGTGGCCCTGGTCACACTTTTCCTCCGCTTCCTTCCTGTGCCCCACATCCGCACGCCAGCCACCCACAGAGTCGTCGCCCTTCCCGGGGACCCACCTCGAAGGCTTGCAAACCTATGCGCTTTTCTCCCAGGGCTGTTGATCCCTGTCACCGTGGCAACCTCCTTCTGGAAGCAGAGGCTTCTGGGAGTTGTGGTTTTGCTTCCTTCCATCACCTGTTAAAACAAACAGCCTTAGAAAAAGGCTTCCAGAGGCACCTCACGGTTTGGGGAGATGTAAAATCCTCCATCAAAAGAGAGTTTTTGCTGGGAGTTCCCTTCTCAGCAGCAAAGGGCACAAACGTTTCTTCCCAAATTTAACCTTTGGTGCTCATGGGTGTTTATAATGTTTCACTTGGGCAGCACTGGCATCATTGTGTTCTTTTAATGATATATTAATAATATCACCTTTTAATTATGCAAACCCACCCTTGCATAGTCATTGATTTCAGCTTTAAATAGTGCCTTTCAAGGATGTTCGCCACCTTGGGTCCTTTTTAAGGAGAAAGGCAAGGTAAAAACAAACAAATTCTGATATAATAGCATTTGGGAGTATTGTAATATGCTTTCTGTCTGGCATGTGTGGCTAGCAATGAGCAGAGACTATGAAACTGATTAATTTATGATATATGTAGAATCTCACACACAGAGGGGGGGTTGGAAACACTCCTCTCTTTAATTTTTGATGTCTGTCTTGATCAGGGAATATATTTTATTATTCATTTAAAATATTTTTATCCTATCTTTCTCTTTAAAAGGACCCAAAGCAGCTTACATCATTATTTTATCCTCTCTCTCCCCCCTTCCGTTTGTTGATTTCTTAACCTCCTGGCTGAGGGCAGAAGGCCTTGAAACCTGAAAGCTTAGCTTGCTATTTTGGGTACTTTCCATTGATCCTAAATAAAGGTGCTAAGCAACCACGGCTGTTGTCCGAATCAGTTTCACAAGGAGGTTTTATCTCATCTTTTTCCTCCCACAGCATGCAAACAGCATCAACGTGCATGCTTTAGAGATGAAGAAACATATAAGCATCTTATTTGTGAGCTGCTCTGTCCTTTGGATGCAAGAGTATGTTAAACGTTCACCTTAATGGGATTCAATTAATTCTTAGCGAGGGGGGAAAGGAACCCTCACCTCGGTGGGCAAACAGAGTGATTAAAAACCTTAGGGGTGTGTGGGAAAATCCCGGTGCTTCTCAAAAGCACAAAAGAGCAATCGGAAATAAAAACAAAGCAAAATCTGGTCACTGTTTACTGCTTGGACTACCGTTGGTGGAGAGTTGTTTCTGTTGACCAGGGATGGTGCCGTGGGGTGGGAAGGCCCAGCTGTTGGGAGATAATAAAAGAAGCGGAGTGGGTGAAAGGGAAAAGCGTGTGTGGGTGTCCCCGTGTGACGAGGAGGAGGTTGCGAGCCGGCCCTGGTGAGGACAAGGCTGGACCGGGCAGTCCGGCTGCAGACGGAGCCCCTCTGACTCCGAAGGACGTGCAACTCAATCTGAAGGACCCGACCACAGAGTAAGCAGATGCAGGATTGTGCCCTTAAGAGGGTTGGAAGAGCGTGCTGGTTTCTCCTAAGGGTACTGCCGTGGTTTTCTCTTTTTATGATAGAAATAGAGATGTGTAAAGATGCAAGGGGCTCCAGAGGTCATCTAGTCAACCCCTCTGCGAATGCCGGAGGTCTTTAGGTTTAACTATTGAACTATTGGTCTTTCCAGGTTTAACTCCTCAGAATGATTGAATATGTGCAGGATTCTGCTGCTGCATCCATGTGTGTAAAGAATCCCAGATTTTTCTTTTTTGAACGATGATCAGGGATATAATTAATGTGAGTCCAGGCTTAGACATAATTAGAGGCCCACTGAAATCAATATGGATTTAATTAGTCGTGATTAACAAGGGATGCTGATTTCAGTGGGTGTATGCCAAGGTCCCTGTATCCATTTCCAGGCAATTTAACGGGGCTCAGTTAATGACTCCCAGACACTGCGTTGCTTGGAATTTAGAAGAGATACCAATAGCTTAACGTTGTTTTGCCTCTCTATTTTCATCTTCAGCTGCAGAGAGGAGACCTCAATTTCCAGACTCTTTGCCATTCCAAATACTAAAGATCATTACCCCGTGTCCCATCGGACCTGAGCTGCCAACTTTTTTTCTGGCAGCGCTCCTGCGTAGTTTACAGACGCTTGAAGGGGCAGAGGGCGAATTAGTCATCCCCACCCCTCCCTTGACATACAGAGAAAGTGTGATAGGAAATGTTTGTGCTTTGGAACACCTGCGAGGAAGTTATGACAAGTACAGGTGCTTTCCTGAGGTGGGGGAAGTGGGTTGGTAATCCTGTTTGAATGAAAAGATTCTTTCAAGGCTGTTGATTTTGTGAAGGGCGCCTTGGAAAGTTATGACATGCATTTCCAGACAAAACAAAGTAGTCATTTTTCTATTGTAAGAAGATTATGGCATATTGTCTTTTCTTTTAAATCTATGCGGAAGACATTCTTTTGAAGATCTGTGATTCCTGCATGCCTAGAAACTTTAAACAAGGCTGGAGTTTTTTTTTAATGAACACTGGATTTCACCTAAGCCATAGCTCACATACCTCTGTGATGTGGTTTTGTAAGGTACAGTATAAGGTAATAGGGACTGTTTGTGCCCCTTTTATTTACTGTTCTTTGATTACTCCTGAGTAACACATGGCGTCCCCAGTTATTAACAAGAGCAGCACAGATAGAGGGGCTGCACGCCAATGATGAAAAGGTTTCCTGCTTCCAGAATAGCTGTGAGAAAAGGACATTTTCAACCCATGAACATTTCTCATGCATGGTCAGCTACAGCTGCAGAGATTCCCTCTCCTACGCAGCTATGAAAAGCAAACTCGGTTGCGTCCTTTCTCACACCTGGCCACCCACAAGAACAGCTGCGCCCGATCGGCCCTAAAGACCGGTCTAGCCAGCATCCTCTCCCCCATGGGGACCCCCTGCCAGAGCCTTGCAAGGGAGCCCATCAGCAGGACTTGGAGGAGAGCAACCGGTCCTGCTTTCCCTCTTCCATGGATTCGTTTCCGTCCCGGCTCTACCGTTGGGCACAGTGAAGAGGAACCCTCAGGCAGCCGATTCCTGAGGGCCGTGAAAGGGGAGCTAAAAGTTACCCGGTGGCTTTGTGATGATTTTTATCTTTATAGCCGGGGGGGTGAAAAGCAGCTTCTGAGATTTTTCCACCTCAGAGGCCCACGTAACGTGGCTTACCAAGGATCCTTAGTGCTTTGGCTTGGGGGGGGGGACAGGTGTTTCCCGATCAGCCTCAGGCGGAAAAATCTTTTGGGTCAGCCCTGCCGATCCCTTTTTCATGTCAGCGGTGGCTGCCACCCCTTGACTAATTTAAGCAAATTTGTGTGCCATATTAGGCTGTCTCTCTCTTTTAAGTCTCCTCAGTTTCCTATTCTGCAGCTTCAATGAAATGGCCCATTAAGCTGTCTCTCTGTTTTAAGAAATGTTCCTATTCTGCAGCTTCAATGAAATGGCCGCTGGTTCCAAGTGCATGAAGGGGGGGGAAAAACTTTTTCTAACCCACGTTGTCAACAACACACATAATTTTATGCACCTCTGTTGGTTGCCTCCCCTGCTCCTGGTTTTAAAACTCCAAATTTTGTACCGTTTTCCTCATAGGGAATTGCTTCAGCTTCTGGGGTCCCCTTTTCGCTTCTTTTGAGCCAGTTTGATCATTTTTATCTAATTTAAAACCAAATATTTTAATAACTGCAACAGCAGGGTGTCCTCTTGAGCATCCTTGTCAAAATCCTTCTGGAGGTGTCCTTGCGGACAGACCGCTGAGGAGTTCTCCATAGTTGGCTTGCTTATTTTTATTTATCTTCCCTCAGAAAATGACGGTGACGAGCTGGCCCCTCATCCTGGCTCTCTTCCTCCCTGCTTTCGAGAGCTTTAGCGGTAAGTTTTGCTCTCTCTTAATCCCAGAAGATAACGAGGCTGATTAAAGGTCATATTCCATCCGTTGGCTTTGGCGATATTTTGGACTTCATGTTCCAGGATCCCCGGCTGGTGAGGCCGACGGTCAAGAATTCTCATCCTGGAAGATAACGAGGTTGATTAAAGGTCGTCTTTCATCCGTTGGCCTTGGTGATACTTTGGACTTCATGTTCCAAGATCTCCGGCTGGTGAGGCCGACGGTCAAGAATTCTGGGAACTGAACTCTAAAACATGGGGGAAATGAAAGCATTTGGACCACTGGATGACTGGGAGGTGGGGCTGGTCCTATCATGGGGACCTTCCTTCTCTGCTGTTGACCAGGAGGCTGACCGATTCCCTCTGCTGCAGGTCAGCAGATGGAGCCGAAGGGTGAAAAAGAAGAAGCTTTCCTCCGACCTCGGAGGAACCCCAGCGGACGATGTCTTCCTAACCCCTGTTTCCACCAGGGAGCCTGCCAGGTAGTGGATGACAATCCAAGCTGCGTCTGTAAGCCAGGGTTCACCGGTCCCTTCTGTAAAGGTAAGGCAGGCCCTGAACATTGGGCTGAATGTTACGCTTCCCCCACCCAATGTGTGAGAGCATTCCCAAATTCTGCATTTTGTCAGAGTCCAGTAAGACCAGCGGCGGGCAACCTGGCTGCATTAGACGACATCTCTCTCACCCATTCGTACTGTTGCTCCGAGGGAGAATCAAGATGGACAGAGACGCCTGCTATTCATTACGAACCTAACAGGAGCCTTTAACTCTTGCAGAGTTTGGAATCCCAGTTAAATTCCTCTAGCGATGCAGCAGAATTAGCTTCAGGTTCCCCAGAGGAGTCCACCCCTTTTTCTTATGAGCGATGCAGCAGAGGAGTCCACTCCCCAGAGGAGTCCACCCCTTTTTCTTATAAACGGGCACTTGCAGTCTCAACAACTCACACTGGGACCTTAGTTGGAGAAAGAATAACAAGTTTTATATATGTGCCATTGAACAAACAGCAAACCGACAAACATGGGAGCTTTGAGCAACAGGCCTCAACAGGCTGATTGCTTCCAATAGACTGATCAACAGACCAAAGAGAAGGGGGGGGGGAGAGAAGCAGAACAGAGAGATGTCGCTTGGCCATCACCTGGCGTTGGTCTGAATGTCCTTTTAGGTTTCCTCTAGACCGAATGGTCCCAAGCTGTGCTGTCAAGGTGCAAATCGGCCCTTAACACTAAGAGCCTGTTCTTTTGCTGCGCTCATGTGTCGATCAGCCCCATCTCACAAAAAATGCCAGCTGGTCAGTCTAGCAATTTTACTTCCTGCTACTGGGAGAGTTGGAACGGAAAGACATAATGCACTTCTCTCTCTCTCTCTCTCTCTCTCTCTCTCTCTCTGTGTGTTTTCCACAGAATTGATGGTGAAACTGGAGTGCGAGGAAGAGTACATGAAGATGATGGTGAGGAAGGAAGCCTTTGAGCTGCTGAAGATCCCCTTGGCATTGGTCCATTTGAAGAACAGGTCCTGCAAAGCTTCCGAAGTGTATGAAGAAGGGGAGGGCTACTGGGGAGCAAAGCTGACCAGCTTGAACCACACCGCTTGTGGGTCGGACATTAAGGTAAGGCTGCGGAGCGGTTCAGAAGGGGCCTGCGCTCAAGGGTCTCCTGCCAGCGAGACAGAGGAAGGAGAAGTTCTGATGGCTCTCAGAGTCACCCAGCCAACATGGGCAGCCACCGTGAATTAACCTACTCTGACGGGCAGTGGCCCTTCAGATCTGAGGCGTAGGGTCTTCTTTCTGCTGGAGTTTTGGCAACCTCGCGTGCTGCCTCTCGTAGATGTAGCTGGGAGGAATCTTTCTAGGGTGGGGGTGACTGTCCATCTTTCCAGCAGCAAGCAATTGTTATCTCCTATTTCTGAGTTCAGAGAGCCCTGCCTTTCTGCTTAGAGTTTTTTCTCTCTCTCTCAAGAGTCTGTTAGAAGCACATAGTCTGTTGAGGTCTGTTGCTGAAAGCGGTAATGTTTGTCAGTTTGCCGTTAGATCTATTCAATTGTAAGCAAAGATAACTTTCATTCTTTCTTCCAGTTCTTGAGACTGTAAGAGAAAGGGGTGGCTTATTTTGGGGAACTTGAAGCTAATTCTTCTCTGTGAATCCCTGCATTTTTGCTGCGCGGTTAGAGGAATTTGACCAGAAATCCAAAACTCTGCAGCATTTGCAATGTGAGATTCTTCAAGGCAAAGACTGATCCTTGGGATAGTTGTTATTCTAAGAGGCTGAACATCCAGAAATGTTTTCTGCTAAACAACAGTCTGTATCTCGTTTGCATTTCCACTCATCATTTGCCCTTGTTGATAGCTGTATTTCTGCTCTGGACATAATGAAATTTCTCCATGCAGAGAAACAACAATATATTGTACTAGCACATGTGTTTCTTAGAAATCTTTCCCCCTTGTGTGACACCAGATGCCTCCTGAAGAATAGAATAAGATCAGTAAAAGTAAGGGCTTCTCTGTCCTCAAGATTGCAGTTTTGAGTGATGGAGGCACTTTTGCAGTCTTGAGGAATAGGCGTGCTTCTTCCGTGTTATAAGTGCAGTTTTAGCACTTATATTGGGAAACACTGGCTTGCGGAAGGCACCTATTGGCTAGAGTCTGAGACATCACAAGTCAAATCTCCACACACACACCCCAAAAATAGTTTGGTAAATCTGCTTTAGAGAAGGTGAAAACAAAATCAGTTTTAAAAACTTCTAGACACTCAAGGCTCTTAAGAAAAATCTGGATAGCTCGTCTGAAGTGTGTGTGAGCTTAAAGAAGTATTTTATGGCTGCTCTTATCTGTCACTCCATCATGCAGCTTGTGCGGGGCAGATTTGCACTGTGGGCAAAGAGAAACATTGGGTTTTCAATTCTCGTCCTGTCCACTCCTCGGCTGCAACCCTAACCCTGCCGTCCCCTTCCCGGCCTGTTTTTCAGGTGAATGGCTCCCACGTGTCCTACTTCAATATGATTGAGTCAGACAGGGAGATCCGGGGCGTGATCACCAGGAGCGTCCTCCTCCGTGTGCACTTCTCCTGCGTCTACGCCTATAAAGGGGTGGTTGGCCTGTTCCATCCACTCCGGACTGCAGACACGTACGTAGGTTGTCCTCTGGTGACCCTTTCCTTGACCCAGCTGGCATGAGACAGACCAGCGATATTGCTGAGGCTGCTCCTGCCCTGGACGTCCAGCTCCACCGAGTTCCTGACCCGTCGCCCTTTTGCTGCTTCCGCCACCGCCCTTGCACCCACTCCTCAGAGAGACAGGAGGAGGCCTCTGTTGCTGGACAGGCTGATAGATCGCTAGACCCATCTATGTCCCAGAGGCTAGACTCCCCGTTTGGCATACACCTCCATCTGTTCCTTCTAGTAGGGAGGAGAGTGGGAGTGTGTGCTTCTTACCCCTGTTCCAGGTACACCTTTGACATTTTTGGCAAAAGGTAAGTGCTTTCTATCCATAAAGGCAAGGGTGGCTGATGACTCTGGGTTGATGGCTTTCAGCCCCAAGCTTGCAGGATCTGTCCAGGGTGCTGAACTCACTTTCAGCACTGTGGACAGCTCTTTCAAGTCAAACCTGGAGAGGATCCTCCACCACCACCACCAACCCTGTGAACCTGGAATCCTGAGCTGCTCTTGGATGGAAGACCAGCAACGGGATGGAAGGTGGATGGAGGACAAGTGTGTTGTGCATGGAAGCAGCAACTCCACACGGTGTGTCAATTCCTGGCTGGCTTTATGAGGGTGGGGGTGCCTCTCTCCCCTAGGCTTGTGCAGTTTGCCGTGAAGGAAGGAGACTTCACAGTGACCATGACGCTCTACAAGAGTGCCAGCTATGACGAGGCCTACCAGCAGCAGCCCTTGCTCCTGCTCATGACCGACATCCTGTACGTCCTCCTCCGCCTCGAAGGGCAGGCTCAGGTGAAGTACTTCTTCCTGAGTGTGGATGAGTGCTGGGGGACGCCGACGGCCGACCCGAAAGACAACACCAAGCACCCGCTGATCATGAAAGGGTGAGGCCCTGGGGCCATGCACGGTGTCCATGGATCTGCATCTCCTTGGGGGGGGGAGGTGTCACAGCTGTGGTTCAAGGCCACTTGGGCAGCTCTGACCTCTGCCCTGGGAATCCTACTGGGTACCTGAAGGAGAGAGGAAGCTGAACCCTTTTTCACAGCCTGCATTTCTGAGCAAGCTGACCAGAGCCACGCCGCTCAGGGGGAAATGGCCGTTTGTAGCATTCTTCTGGGTAATAATGTTCTTAGTGCAATAGACATCCCAAATTTTCCATAAAAACTGTGTGAAATGTGGATTCTAGGTCAAGACACGTTTAGAAATTGCTCGTGTCAGCTAGAGTTGAGCCACTGAACAGACTGCAAAATAATAATAATCATATGCCATCAAGTCAGTTCAGACTTCTGGCAAGTCTTTCCAAGATTTTCTAGGTACAGAAAAGTGGTTTACCATTTTCTTCTTCTGGGGTCACTTATTGCCCTGCTTTCTTCAGGCTACATAAGTTGGCTCTTCTGCCAGGAGGCAGAGTGAGGAGTCGGCTCAGAAGGCCTTCTCTTGAAATGTTCCTCTTAAAACTGGGCTTCTACAAGTATTAGCATCTCTCCCCCCTTCCCTCCCCATATATTTCCTTGTCCTTCCTTCCTCCCTCCCTCCATCAGCTTCCTTCCTTCATTTTCCTTCCTTCCTCTGCCTCCCTTTCTTTCCTCCCTTTTCCTTCCTTCCTTCTATCCATCCATCCCCAGTTCCTTCCTTCCTTCCTTCTTTTCTTTCTCTCTTCCTTCCTTCCTTCCTTTTTTCTTTCTCTCTTCCTTCCTTGCATCCATCCCCATTTCCTTCCTTCCTGCCTG